TTCTCCCGACCCCCTGCGCACTTCCTCCGACCCCCACCGGCGGCGAGGCGCCGACGTAACCTCTTGCCACCGTCCGGGCACGAGAACTGCGCGGGCGCCTGAGTCCTCGTCTTCGTCCCGCGCTCCGTCCCCGCAGAGGGAGGCGCGGCAGCGGGGCCGCCGGGGCCATCGAGCTGAGACTTCGGCCCACAACGGCTGGGGCGAAGCAAGAAAAGAAAGAGAGATGAATAGTAAAGGATGAGAGCAAAGAGTACCGCGGAGAGAGAGTGAGGGAGCAGGGAGAGAAGGAAGAAAACAAGACGGCAGCGGCAGCCCAATGAGCGCACGCAGCGCCCTGCAGCCGCACGAGGAGGAATTTATTCCGCCCCGCCCCACGCAGATGTCTTTTGTAGCCCCAGGCCATTCAAGAGAAACACAAAGTGAACCCAAAAAACAGTTCTGCTGCGAGGTCACGGGGCACGGCGCCCCCTTTTCCCCGCAGCAGGGCAACCCGCCGGTTATGCCTCGCGCTCGCAGGTAAATACAAACAAAAACACTAAAAATAGTCCCTTCTGGCACTTCCGTACAAACGCCCTCCGCTACTGCAGTCCCCTGCTCACTTCCCCCCAACTCCCCCCACCGGCCCCGGCACTCCCTTTTTCTCCCCACAACGCGCCGCAGCATTCCGACGGCCTGCGCCGCCCAAATCGACGGATTTGCGGCACCTCCGCGCCGCGTGTCTGTTGCCGCACTTTCTGCATGCAAACAACTTCTCCTACGAACACTCATCGGAAACAGTTTTCCCAACCGCTTAAAATATGCACCTCGTCATTTACTCTCCGGGCTGCTGCCTCGCTGTGCCGGCGGTAATGTGATGCGCACCCGCCGCTGCAAAACCGCAGCCCAAACAAACTCCCTTCCCGACTGTTTAAAGAAAATAATTTAAATGAAAAGGCGCCCGTCTCTAAGCTCTTTGCTCGGGACGCGACGCCGGGCCCGCCCGCAACACGCACTGCCTTGCCGGCCGTCCCGTTGTCGGCCGCAGCCCCGCGCGAGCCCCCCTCTCTTTTCTACGCCGCGCCCGCAAAAAGGCCCTCCTCCCCCAGTGTGTGTGTGTGTGTGTGTGTGTGGGTCCGGGGCGCACGGCTTCTGGAGCTTTTAAGGAAGGCGAGAACCACACGTTAGTAGCGAGACAGCCTCTGCGAGGGTCAGTACCTCACACAAACGACCCAATAGCTTTTGTCTGATGTGGCCACACGCCGGCACGATGCTAACGATGCTGCAATAGCGTCCGCGACGTTCCCGCTCAATTTTCACAAGCTTCCAAAGCGGATTCTTCGCACTCCACACTTTATCATCTACCTCAGAAAAGTAGCGTTGGGCAACCGAGGCGTCAATCACCTGCAGGGCGCTCCCAAGTGCCGCAGTGCGCCCATTGAAGTCAGCCTCAGTGAAGATGTAACGCGGAATCGGCCCGACAAACTGCATGCGCTGCTTGACCGTCTCCCAGTAGTCCGCTTGCTCCTGCGCGGGGCGGCCACGCGCCATCCAGGCACACATCGCCTTCGCCTCGTTCTCGCGAGGGCAGCTCATGACGCGGTCATGGCGGTCCTCTCTCCGCACCCATCCTCCGAAGCTTTTTCCGTTTGGGGATTTCAACACAATCATCCCACATCCGTAAGGCTGGAAGCCTGACGGCGGCCCTCCGTCCTCCGCCGCGTCGTAGATAATAAACCCTTTCCACCGCCACTCCAACCGACTCACAGCTTCTTTGATCTTCTTCGCGCCCTTGTATTCCGTCACCGTTTCCTCCTCCTTGTCAAGCATGTACGCCAACTCTCCTCCAAGGAAGTAGGCAACATAACGAATTGGGTAGTCATCGTAGTGCAGCAGCTGGTAGAGGAGGTAGGAGCCGGCATTCATTCACCGCTCTATCCCGTACGTCCCAAGCAGGGAAAACGATTTCAATTCATGCTGTTCTTCGTCTTCGTTTTGCCTGAAAGTGTCTTCCAGATCGTATTTGATGTTCTGCCACACCCGCCCCACCTCAGCGGTGACGCAGCAGTCGGTGGTGGCTGCCTCCCCCTGCAGCGAGGAGAGCCACCCCTGCTCGGAGGTGAGTATCACCAGCCGGGGGCGCGGCGGGCGGAACTGGTCAATGTCACTCAACAGGAAACAGCCTGCGCCATCGGGCATGAACTCCCACGACCTTTTTGGCGCTTGGCCCTCACGCACCTCCATTCGCACCGCCATCTCGTCCCCCGCGCCCTCGGGAAACCCCAAGACGTGGCTCAATTTCGCGTTGAACACCGAGTCGTAGAAACCCTCCGGAATCGGTCGTCCGTGGTTTTCCTCCTCCCGCTTTGCCCTTTCCTTTTCTTCCTGTCTTGCCGCTTCTGCCTCCGCCACCTCAAGGGCAGCGCTGAGTTTGTTCGACGCTGCACTGGAGAGCCTATACCACGACGCATATCCCCTCCAGCGTCGGAGCGTGGCCACCCCTCTCTCCACAAGCCCGCACAACTCTTCACGGAGAGCGTACGGCTGGTACGCTGGTAAATTCGTAATGTTCTCGAGAAGCTCCAGGTCTGGGACGTACTCGTCCGGCCTCCGCGCAAACAGCCCCATCGGAACATTGTCGTCGTCGTCCACGGCGTAATTGCCCCCCAACGTACTCCCGAAGGAAGTCGTTCAGCAGCATCTCACTGACCGGGCCTTCTCGCTCCAACAGTTCTTCATCCAGCGTACTCTCAAGGGCCTACTTTGG